AGAGAAATGAAGGAAAAAGTTCCCTATTACAGTCAGATTTGGGGGGGGGTAATATTTCTTCATAATGTATATTTTTCCCCCTCCAAACTAAAAAATAAAACTAGTGGCTCATGTAAAGGCCTATAAAACATTAAATCTATTCAGTGTTAGTTTCCTGTCTGAGGCCATATGATTTCATCCAACAAAAAAGACAGGTTAATTTTAGACTTGCATTCCCAAAGCTTCCCCAAATAGGAATGTGCAACCTGATAATTCCATTTCTAAGCAGTAAAACAAAAGTGGGAGTAAATGAGATAGGACAATAAGCTCCAATGTGACTCAGAATTTTACACAATTGCATCATATAAGTAGAGTTCAAAGGGACAGGGACATGGCTTCTCTAGCCCATTCCGATGGGGCAGCAGGTGATCCAGGGAAAGTGTGGATCTCTCACACAGAATAATTATAATTCATAATGTTATAACAGAATTTTGGATGTATTATATTGAATTTCTTTTACTAAAGCAGTTTTGATCATTTTGATTTCTCTCTTTGGTATTTTCTGTCATCCCTCATCCCACTGGGGGTCTAGTAGCCATGGTCTCTTTAACAGATGAGGCCTTGTCCTAGATGATTGGAGGTCCATAAATGGACCCTACTTTGGCACAGGTCATAGCACATAGGGTGGTAACAACAACCGTGAGGTGGTCCTGTTACTTGTTTGATTCTCTTGTGACTTGTACCCACATAGTACCTCACAGTACTGTTCACTTTCCCTTTGAGCTGAACTCATTCAGAATACTCACATACTTTCATTTTTTACCTTAGCAGAGGCCACTAGGTTTTCACTGCCCTGAAATAATTTTTAAATAGTAAGATTGACTAACAAGGAATATTATTTTATCTACAGGATTATATTTGAGGATAGGAGAGCCCAGGAAAATTGAATTTATGAAAAAGGAACTTATTTTCTACTATGAATACACTTTAGAAGTAATTAGATATTCTAGTGTCCTCACCTGTAAAATGGAATAAACATAGGGTTGTTAAAAGCACTAGAGGATTCAGTGGCTTTGTCTTCAACAGACTTCAGAAGAGTTGGGTTATGTAGAGGGACACGAGTGACCTCTGTAAGGTGGAGGAAGGTTACTGAGGAAGGAAAACTGGAGATAAGGTATCCCTTTGCTACTCTTTCTGCTTGCCCATAGTCTGCTGACCACTACCTTCTTTAAATCACACAGTGCAAGTTTTGGATACATTACTCTTGACTCTGCCAGAAAATATCAGCTCCAATAATTTCTGGCCACTTGGGTAGTGCTCCTTCTGCCACACACACACACTGCCATCCAGGGAGTGTGTGCATTGGGGCAGAGGAAACCATAGCTGGAGAAATGGGCATTTTTCTGGGGGGAATTCTAAGTATTTCTAAAAAAGTGAAACTGGAAATAACTGTGAAACTATAATTTGTGTTACCTATTTCTGAATTCACTGTGACATAATCCACAACAGTACTAGAAAGTATTCTTCACAGGGCTATTTTTTTTTTTCTCCATAGCTTAACAAACTGAGAAAGATCACATTCATCAGAAATTCTAGCAGGAGTGAGGGTCCTGATTTCTGGGGTATTCTAATCTTACAACATCTACTAGGGTTTTACTTGTCAAGTGTCCAGTTGGATACTTTATGACTTGGCAATTCAGTTGAGACACACATATGTATCAGTGTATGTTAACAGACTGGAGGAGGCCAGGAGCAACAGGAATGGATTCGGGAAAGGAACTAAGCCCACTTAGTGACCTTTCTAGCACTGTCCTACCCTCCACAGTTCTGACTCATATTTATGAACTGAGTGGAAATCGTCAGAATCATAAAGGCAAAGCAAACCTACCTGCCTGTTGAGATTATTCTAAGTCACATTAAACAAAAAATAGTGAAAAGATCAGGGAATGAATGGGCTAGTCCAGAGTTCAGTAACTTGTTTCAAGAATGAACTGAACAGGTGAGTGGGAAAATTCATAATCTATACCCCCAGGTGTTAAAAATTGTAAGATGATAGGCAGATAATAGAGGTGTTTAATGTTTGCTGCTTTCTGCTGAAATTAGTAATGAAAAAAGTAACTGACTGGTGACTCAAGTGGTAAGGTGCCTGTCTAGCAAGCATGAGGCTCTGAGTTCAAACCCCAGTACTACCAAAAAAAACCCCCCAAAACCAAAAAAGTAACTGCTTTCATATAATGAGATAGATGCCAGGCTTTGCAGAGGGCCATGAATATCAGGGTCTTTCCATATTTATTTTATAGATAGGGGAAACAGCTCTGAAGGATCCATGTTGTCCAAGTGGATAGACGAGCAAGTGGCTAAGCAAAATTCCAAATCTAGTTCTGATTCACAATCATGTTGATCCGGACTAAGAAAGTTAAAAAATAGGAGGGCTATAGAATTGCAACCCATACCTTAGGGCTCATATTGACTCTGACCACGAGTTTTTCTCCCAATTCTCGTATACTGTTTAGAAACAGAATGGCTTGGTTATTACAGATACTTGGGTGGAGAGTTTCCTGGAAAACAGCATAAAGGCAGGAGAAATTAGGGGACAAAGCACTTGAGCTTTCTAAAATGTAGTACCTGTTGTGCATTTTGTTCATCCTTACTTCTTTAAGAGCATGGGGTAGGCTTCCTGGTGGCTGACCAAGACACTGAGAAAAATTGGGAAGTGAAAATTATTGACAAAGATGGCGCCATTGTAATTCATAATGATTTGTGGCCCAATTGGCTTTCAGAAACAGGCCAGTGTATGGCAGGCTGAGAAGAGACAAGCAGAGCTCAATTGCTATTAGATATTCTGGAAAGCAAAGCACACATTAGAGAAAGGCATACTGTACCACTAAAGAGCAATCATCTCAACAGGCCTCTGAGGACTCTGGCTCGTTTAAAGTCACTTGGGAGGAGACTTGATAACTCTGTAAGGTGGAGTTTATTCAGTAAATCCACTGTCCAGAATGTCTGTAATGGTTGAGTCCCCTCTTTCTCCATTAAATATACCTTTAAGTGGTATATTTACTAGTCTTCATATTCTTTGCATAAAGGAACAGGAAAAATCAGATTAATTTTGAAGCACAAAGGAATACTTTATCTAGATGAGTTGCAGTTAAGAGAGAAAGAATAAACACAAGGCAATGAAATCTAAGTTAAAATTTACTTCCTCAACAGGAGCAATACATTATTCTTTTCCTAGTCTCTTTCTGTTCTAGGGTAATAGTGCAATCAGATTAGTAAGATGATAATTAAACTTAATTATCTCTACTCTGTCTTTTAGTCACAACAGAGGTAGAAAACACAAGAATTAACTACATCAATTGCAAGAATAAATTAATCATCTTTTCAAAATCTCTTTCCTCCTTATATCCAAATGTCTACACAAATATATTTTTGTATGTGACTCAAAGTATATAAAAGGAAATTTAATTTCATCTCTGAAATAGAAATCCTGGTGAACTAGGATGTTGGTGTTGGTGTAACTCAGTCATATGTATCCATAAGCAGTATTCTGTCTTGTCTTTTATTATTAAAATTTTTTTCAGGCCTTGTCTTCATCCAGCATGGACATATAGAAGATGTATGAATATTAGTTTCACCCTCTGTAGGTAGTTTGTACGTAGTAAGCAGTTCTCATATAATCTAATGCAATTATACTTTAAGTCCTTGATCTTGAAAGGAAACATTTGATTTATGCATCCGTTACAGAGAATAGTTGTGGAAGTTATGGTCTACATTGAACTATGCAAGATGAATCACATATATCACTATAGTTAATAATGCTAGCAACTTGTAGTGCTTTTAGGTTGACACCAAAGTTTATGATATAAAATAAGGAAGGGGCATAAGCCTCTTCAGCTGATCTTCCTGAAGATGGAGTACTTTTCAGATTTAGAACAATGCAAGCAGGTTGCATTCCAAGATGTCTAAATGCAGCTTGACTCTCATGATGCTGTACCTCTACCAGTGCTCATCAGCTTTTCCTGTAGACTCTGGGGAATGATGTGACCGTATCACTTCTATGTAGTCCTTCAAAACCCAGTTTATTCTTACAGTAAATTTGCAGAGTTGGGTTTATAGCAATAAGTACTCAGATCTCTTTATATAAACTAACCATAGTCCCAAACAAGTGTGAGAAACTCTTGAAATTTACCATATGCCACCTGCTTGCACCAAGTACCTTCTTAGTACAGACCAAGAGGGACTATATGCTGATGTGCTGAGTAATGCTCACATGTTTATTATGCAAGCATGTCTATATGAATGTACACAAGTATATCCCGAACAGAGTACAATCTGAGCTCTTTATAAAGCAAGTCCATGGGAAGTTATGAACTCCTTATTTCTAAAATTCTGCAACATGGGTTCACAGTGTTGCACCCTGATACTTTCCTCATGTAAATTTGCTAATGAAAGAGGAATAAAATAATTTTTGAAAGCATCTGTGCCCCTCGTTTGCATACATTCCAATAAAATACCCTGGCTTTCCACATCATTTGGAAGCAAACTGAATTAAAAATAAGACATTATAAGCTGAAAAAGAATAGTAAATTGGGCTGGGTCAAATGATTGTGATACTAGTATTTCATAATGAGGGAAAATCTTCCTAAATAGGATATGGAGGAGTTGAAGGTCTTTTTTTTTTTTTTCAAACAAACAAGTCTTTTCAAACTTCTTTCAAACTTTTGGAAAAAATGACCAGCCTGGACCAGATAACCAGTGGCTCACACCTATAAGCCTAGTTACTCAGGAGGCAGAGATGAGGAGGATTGCGGTTCCAAGCAATAGATAGATAGATAGATAGATAGATAGATAGATAGATAGATAGATAGATAGGGGCTCATGAACTATCTTGGAAAAAAAATCACAAAAAAAGTGCTGGTGGAAGGTGAAGGCCCCGAGTTTAAACCCCAGTACCACAAAATAAATAAGTAAATAAAATGTGAAAAGTGAAGCTTTAGAAATGTCAAGTGATCAAACAAATCTGTGCAGAAATTAACTTTTTTTATTATATATCATATAATGTAGTAGTAAAGTTTGTTTGAAGTGCATGAATAAAAAGTTAGTGAAATTACAGGAGGAACAATCTATATAGCAATAATAGGTGCATTCCCTGTGCATCTGAACGAAAAAACAAAAAGAGTTTTCACTCATTTTGGCCTAAAACTTAGTGTTCAGGTTCCCAGGATTCTGATATCAGAACCCGGATAACGCTGATTAGAACCATAGGGGCTTTACAATAAAAGCTAAAATATTGACCATATGATGGCAAAAAGTCTTATTTTGTGGTTAACTTATTCTCTTCTAGCTACTCTCTGATGAAGTTGGTGGCGCTGTAGAGGAGGACCGCCGCCTTCTGGACGAGGACCGGGACCGCTCAGCATTGTAGGTGACATGCTTGTCATAGTTCTCCATCTGAGCCTCAATGAAGTCTCTCTGCTGCTGTCTGATGGTCTGGCTTATGAGCCCAGGGAGGGCATGGATGCTACCAATCAAAGTCTCTAATTTTGTTTCCAGGGTAACAATCCTCTTCTCAAAGTCTTCACTCCTTTCATTTAAGTCGGAAATCATATCGTACATGATATTCTGGGTCTGGAAAACAAGATTGAGAATGATGTAGAGACAGACTGAGAGGCTTAATTGCCCCAGAAGCAAACTGTCAGCTCTCAGGGCTTTCTCACTGCTCTCTTGACCGAGACATCCAGTACAACAGGGGCGTGAGCTGACTGAACAGTGTACCTTGCAAAGAAAACTCAGTGTGTGGGTTTAGTGCTGGGATTTAGAAACGGAAGATCTTAGGCATGATTTGGTTCAGTTTTCCAAAGTAGGGTGCAGTTATTGCTGATAGGTGGTATGAAAACAGATGAAAATCACGTTTCAGTTTAATTTTTATAGTATGTGTGTTTTAATGGTTGTGATACTATTTAACAAATCTAATTCATTTTGCAAATGTACTATTAGGACAAGGCCATTTTTTGAAGCAATAAGCAGATCTGAGGAACAATAAATAATGGTACAGGAAGCACTGAAATGTAACAAAAATTCTGAGGGTAAAATATGAATGAAGTTTAGTAATTTAAAGCACTATGCTTTTTACAGACAAAATGTAAAAACAGAATTGCTAGTCTAGAACTGGGGATGTAGTTAAGGGGTAGGGCATTTGAATAACATGAACAAAGTCCTGGGTTTGAGCCCCCAGAAGAAAAACAACAACTCCCTGCCCACAAACCCTGCTCCTTTCACAAAACAAGTCTCCCAGTCCACCTTGTTGGTATGGTTGATTCAGAGCTAAGTGGTTTGAAATGGAAAAATATTTTTGGTGTCCAGGGAACCTTGAAGTTGTCTTGATCACAGTATATGCCCAAGTCTGATTCCTAGTTGTATTTCCTGAAGTAACCAAAAAATAGGGAGAGGGGACTTCAGGGCCCAGCAGCTCAGAGCCAGCAATAGGAAAGGTGGTCAAGAGGGAAAGCTAGGGATGTTAAACTGTACCTAGTACAGCCTTTCTCAAGTCTGAGACCTCCTTTATCTCAGTCTTCTTTCCTTCTGCTTATTTTCCTCTTAAGACCTATGATCTTTCCAGGTTAACACCCACTTAAAGCTGATAAATGAACCCATTAAGTGAGGGAGTGCTTATCCACAGCATAAGCACCATTTTTCATTTGGCCATAGAGTCAAAGTGCATTAACTTTATTTTTACTACATAGTGGTGAGAATATGTGAAAAACATTCATTTATTTTGAAAAAATGGAACCTTTATGGCATGTATAATGTGGTCATAGTAAGCATGGTTATGCATGGTAGGCCAGTGTTCTACCACCGAACTACATCCCCAGACCCTAGATGTACTCTCGAAGTAAAATTATCTATAGTATATTTTCAAATGGTCTTTTATTTTTTCACAACAATAACCAATTTCTTTTATCATTTAACCTAGGAGAGATGCAAGAATTTGTTCCAATAAAGAGGCATACCAGTGGAGGACATCTTTGTCCTTTAAGAGCAAACTCTTAAAGGTGTGCTACCTAGCTTAAATGCTCTCCTCAGGTGAGTCAGTTGCCTATCTTCAACATGTTCATCTAGTATGTGTTAGGAATAAACATGAAAATCAATACAATTTGGGTGTGCTATTGAATGAAACTATGCTAACTCTGTAATTCTTACAAATTACACTTGAATCTTTAGCAAAGAACATAGCTAATTTATCAAAGATAAAATAGGATGTATTATAGCCAGTTGAGAGTTTTCTGTGAAAGAAAAGACTGAACACTTACATACTGTCCTAGTCCATCCTTTAAAGCTAGCTGAAAAGGATGCAACATTTTGACTGTTGACACCCGTATTTTGAGAGTGAATTTTGTTTCGGGAAAAATAATAATAAAAATTAGATAAATCTTGTACATGCAGTAGAATAACTAGGTGAGTATTAATGTACAATGATTGTTACATGGAGAAATAACCATGAAAGGTGACTGAGTTTTTTCTTTATTTTAGGATATAATTTCTGGGATCTTTTTTTAATTTCACTTTTACATTGTTCCGAGTTTGCTTAAGATATATAAAAACAATTTTAATGAGGAGTCCTACTTAACATCTAAGATGTTGTTCTGCTCTCATACAGATGAGACCTAAGAATCCCAAAGGTATGGTATCATATCCCACTTAGGTGTCTGATAGTAGTTCCATTTCATTGCAATTAGGGAAGCTTTTAGCATGGGTTGAATAATATAAGGAAAGGGCACAGGAAGTGGGAGTGTTAGGAAAATGTTTTTATGTTTTAGGGTGGTTGGTTGGTTAATTAAATTTGGGGTGGGTTCCTCCTGCAGCATTGCTAGTTACTACGTGGTTGACTCCAGTAGACATAATCATGAGGGTTAAGAACCTCAGACTTACCTTCGCCAGATCCACCAAGGTATTGGCTTGGTCATTCAGTTTCCTCTGTTCCATTTTTACACTTCTTAATCTAAAAGACAGAATCTGGAGTCAGACAAGTGCTCCTCCTTCTCTGGAGATTTATGGTTTTCAAAGTGCATGCACAAAATTGACAAGAGCAAATTACTGCATGGAGAATGCCTTGACTACTTGGGGGTAAAGTCCATACTGGTTATGTATCTGGTACAATGAGAAGCATGCTTCCCCAACACCGCAAAAAAGAAAGGATAGCAAGAGATGAGATGTCCTTAGGACAGCTATTTACGAGGTAAATCGAATTCAGAGAGGCTCATAGGGTTTAACCATATGAGAAAAAGCCAAAACATTCCTTAAAGCCCCAGTATCATGACAGATAGACATAGGAAGAAATATGCAAAGCAACTGGAATTTTATCACGTTGGAGCAATGAGTGCCTTCCTATGCCTACGTGACTAGATACAGGTATTAACCCTGTTTAGTCGGAAATGAATTGGGTTAGGTAGTTGAACCTGATGAAAACACAGTGATAAGTGAGATTCTTATTAACAAAAACAGAACTTTTATTCAACCAGCAGCAAGATAACTCAAAGCACATAATTCTCTTATTCTTCAATATACTTCACTTGACATTTATCTTAAACTGCCATTGAATTTAAAGGGAGGCCAGAACATTTCATTGTAGGATCTCTCTCACTTTGCATTGTAGATAAGTCAGAAGATACAGTCTCTGACAGATAGAATCTGTTTGTAAGGTTACTTTTAGTTACTTTAAAATATCATTGCATGTACCGAGTGGAAGGCCACTGTTTAACAAGATATCTTTTTGAATGAGAATTCTTACCGTTCTTTATTGAATTATTCAAATATTTATACAGTGCTTACTAGGCCCAAGATATTAAGATTTTTCCCAGAGGAAAGTTTTTTTTCCTATAAGTCCACAATTCAAAGTCTTACTCCAAAAGAGAAATAGGTCTTTCTAAGCTACTTAGTGAAAAAGGTTAAAAAAAAAAAATACAACCACACTAACCTTATTTTGTTTTGATAAAGTATCACTTTATAAAGTATATTTTTATGCAGAAGAGTATCACATAATTTTAATTTAAATTGTACAAAACTATATAAAAGGAAGAAAAATTCAAAGGGCAAGATTTTACTGCCAGGAGATTTTTGTAACATGTGTTCATAATTCTGAGACTAGGACACCCAGTACACCACCAAGTCTGCTCTACAGAGAGGATGTGGTTCCTTCTGCCTGATGGCATTTAACTGACACCTCCCCACGACATGCTCTTTTAACCATCCAAAACTGCTTTGTTTTATAGTTTGTCATTGTGACTATGTGTTTATTACAATACATGGAACAAAATTAACTGACTCCATTTTATGTTATTACAGAGGTGAACTAAATTCCAGTCTAAAAGAAATTTACAAACAAATTAACATATTGTTGAGAAAAGTTTCTCTGAGTACTTACAGGGGTTATAATTCTTGAAGTGTACTTTTGAAGAACAAGCCACAAACCAAATACTTTAAAACACCTGTGGGTCATTACAGAGAAGTACCCTTGAGACAGCAGCCGTGTCACCTGGGGGCTCAACCTCAGTGGCCCAAATCTGACCCTCAGTTTCCTCATGTATTAGAGTAGGATTTATACCAACAGAGGTGCTCTAATGACTTTAAGTGATACTCAAATAGGGCACCTAACTAAAACAGATGGAAAGCCAGTTATTCCCTTAAATTCTTATCCAACTCTTGCTTACTGCAAGAAAAATGTGTCAGGCTGGTCCTGTCTTTATCTCCTGACACCTGCTGTTTTCTCTTTTAAAATAGGAGAGAGTAGGATATCAGCTCAGAGCATTCTGCAGGCTACAGCTTTCCAGCCCATGGCTAGAATTTGATACCAGTATTTTAATTGCCAGTAATGCTGGCTGTGAATGATATTTTAAGGGATAAAGATCAAGTTTTCTTTAAAAATTCAGGAATGACTGCAGTTGGGGGCTCTGGACAAGATGCCTCCAGCAATCTGTGAGTACAGAACAAGTCTTAAACTTTGCAAATCAGGTGGAAAGGCATGTGATGCTTCCCTAGTTGAAGTAGATACTTCATCTTAAGACAGTGGAACCTAGTGTACTCTCATGGATCACAAAATTATGTCTGACAGTAGAATTTTGCCCATTTTGTTACTAATCTAGAAAGCTGACATAGAGGAGCCCTATTTTATTGGAATTTCTTTAGCTCCCTGCACCTAAATAATTTTGTATTGCCTGTTTCTTTTTTTGGTGGTGCTGGGGTTGAACTCAGGGCTTCATCTTTGCTAGGCAGGCACTCTACCACTTGCACTATGCCTCTAGCCCTTTTCACTTTGGTTATTTTTGAGATAGAATCTCACATTGATGCCCAGGTCAGCCTGGACCACAACCCTCCTATTTACCCTTTTGTCTAGGCATGAACCACCATGCCCAACTGTTGGTTGAGATGGGGACCACATGAACTTTTTGCCTGAGCTGGCCTCACCAAACCATGATCCTCCCAATTGCTGCCTCCCACGTATCTGGAACTACAGGCGTGAGCCACTGTGCCCAGCTGTACTGCCTGGTTCTTACACTGCCTGTGGTGTAGGAGAGCAGACAGAAAAAGCCTGCTTAACCTGCAGCTGCCCGAATAAAAGGTAACATGCAGATGTGTATTATACAGTTTTTCCCACAAAAAGAATAAGAAACATATGTTGATTTCTTCCTTGTGAACTTCACTTATCACAGGAAAGTATCATGATTTTGGATCACATTTCCATAGCAGCAATCAGACTACTAAAATTCACAAATAAAGGTTTCGCTGGGTGCATGCAGCCAGTAGAAAATTCTGCAAATGTTGAAAGGAGCGGCTCACACAACTTACTTCCGAGCTCTATTTTCATTTTGTTGAAATAAAAAGACAAAACAAAAAGAAAAAAAACTGTAAAATATTCTGGAACAGAATAATACAATGTGGTGTTCAGTTGTGCACAGGGGGCTCGATTCATTAGCTGCAGGATGCTGTTACAACTGCAGGATTTTGACATATTGGCCAAGAGAAATACAGTTCCTCACCTTTCTTCTTCATTGCTGCTGTGCTTTGGCCACCTGAAAGTACTTGACTTCCTTTTGAACCAGAGTTCAGAAGGAAGAGCATGCATAAAGTCAACTTGGCCTCTTGATACTCTATGTTCAAGAAGCAACAGGAAACTTTTTTGCCTAAAATTATATGGTTAAAAGGCCAATGTTTTCAACAATGGTTTTATAAGGGGAGGAGTATGTATTTTCCAGATTGGGACTATTCACAAGCCCTTCTGTCTTATATGAATTATGTACCCTGGATTCGATTCCTGGTTCTGAGACAAGTTCAAGTTGATTGATGGGTCCATAGTTGAGACAGAAGAACTTTAAAGGCAAAGCTGCTATCGGAAAAAGTGTTGAAAGTTAGAGAACAAGAACACTTCATGGCACTAAGTGACAATTGAAAAGGCTGTGTTGCTGAGAAGAGGGCCCTATCCTACAGAGCTCAGCACCATCAGAGTCTAGAGAGGTCACACTGCAATAGAGAGGCCATAAAGTGAAAAGAGAGAGAGCTGAGCTAGCAGGAAGCTGGAAGTGGGAAAAGAGCAGTTGAAACAGCTCTCAGGGAACATCAGAGACTAGGAGAGGCCAGGAGAGTACCATCAAATGAATTTAAAATTTTCTCTCCAACTAGAAGGGTCTGGTTTGCACAGTGTTGACTGATGAGGCTGAGGTCTCATCGGATCCGAACAGCGGGCAGTGAAGTCCTTGCCCTTGAGGAATCGAGCCCTGTGTGCTTCCCTTTACAACTCCATTCCCCAACTTCCAATGCTACATTACAATGAAAGGTAGCTATACATCATTAGAGTAACTGAGCCAAATCCAGCCATGTAAGTAAACTTAGTTGAACCATTTCACAAAGTATAAGTGTCTCCCATGTCAAAAGAAATGCAATCACCAGCAAACTAAAACAACTTGGAACATACTTGAATTGTTGAAAGCTCATGTACTTTAGATGTACACATTGCTACAGAAGCAGAAGAGTCATGGGGGGGCTTCCTCTGTCATCCAGAGCATCTTACTAGAGGCTTCCCCCACACACACACACAGTGCTCTGAGGGGTCAACTGAACACGCCTTGTATTTTATTATTAAAATTTCAAACTTGAAAGCAAAGGGGAAAGAATTTCGCAGTGAATAAGTATGCACACATTCCCTGAGATTTTTTAGTGTAAACGTCCTCAGAACTCAACCTCTACGACAAGATAAAGACCACCATTTACGCATGACTACAGAGCTGTATTACCGAAACTGTCATGGTATGTTTTTGATTTGTTACTGGAAAATGTATCAAAAACAAATCACATGTGATTACTTTTAATAGGTTAAGCTGACAGAAAGGAACACAAATAAATCTTGGAGGAACAGGGATGTGTGTCACTCAACATCCAGACCAACCACACACGCTTACTCCTGTTACCCTTGGACACATCTCTTCTCCCACCCACAAAGGTAAGATTTCTTTCTAATATACTCAAAATAAATTAATATCAAAAATTTTTATTAACATACATGAATAGTACAAGAGGGTTTTATTGTGATAATTCCATAGATGTGTATACTGTATTTGGGATAAGCTTGCAAGTTCTGTTAAGGAAAGTATTTCTCCATGGTATGCTCTATGCACTTGTTATATGAACGTTGAGGTTACTGCTTTGTATGGTTTTGGGGGTGGGGAATGGCTACTCTGACAAGTTGTGCCAGGTGAGTGTCTTAGGAAAGAGGTTTCAGGAAGACAGGTCTGAGGAACACAGAGGAGGGAGCTGAGCATCTCTTGGTGATCACACTTTCAGGTCTAAACTTCAAGGAATGAGGATGTTTAGGCAGGTAGTAGCCCTGGGTTAGCCAGTTCCCTCTTGTGAGCCAGGTCTAATGTAACACTACTTTCTGAGTTTTTCCAGGGCTTTAAAAAAGTATTATACTAAAATTTTAACCCTGTGTTTTCCTTACAATGAAGGAAAGCATAGGTATGCATCTAGTTATGTGACAGAGCTGAAGGAGAAATACTATCACCTTCTTAAAGAAGTGTGTTGGTGGAAAACAGGGAAAAAACATTAGTGAGTAGGGACCAACTAGAGCAGATGCTAAATATCAAGTTACTTGGGTTTTGTTTTTTTTCCACTAGAGAAGGCAGCACTTTTTTACCCAGGTGGGCACATTCTACTTCTTCAGGGATACCTCTTTAAGCAAGCCAGTTGGATGGACAGGTGAAAGAGTAGATGATGATTCCCAAAGAATTTCAACTGTACCATGTGTCATATAACCTATAAATAGATTATATCTATATCTATATATATCAGTGACCTAAATATATAAAATAAAAATTCAGGCCTCACAGCCTTCTTGTTTGTTGTGCTAGTTGTCCTGGGAAGTAAAATCTCATTATATAGTCAAATACCTAGCACTACCTACCTTTCCATTAGTCCCCTAGTAATAATGCTTTCATGAGTAAAGCCACAAAGCCACTGTTCTCAGTCACTTGTCTGTTCTTCCTCACTCAGAAATGACACTAAGTTAAGAGTCTGCCTGGCACCGTGGCTGATACCCACATGAGTAATACTTACGGTGAAGATGCCATCAGCCTGGAGGAGAAAGATCTGTATTGCCAAGTTATCACTGAAGCTTATGAGGTACAGATTTCTAACTTAAAAGCCTATGATAGTTATATAGCAACAAAATGGAATAAAGGACTAAATAAATTGAATAATGGTGGCCTGCATAGTGTCAGAATAATGATAAAAATATATAGAATGATAGGAACTCTGATATCTACAATGAACATGTAGCATATAGATAATCCCTAAATTCTGATTAAGAACTCATGGAATATTCAAGTATTATACAGACAACTATGAACATCATTTAAAGATATGTGTTTAGTATGTTAAAAATCCAGATAGATCATGTAGTGTTAATTTTTTCAAGATTTTGCAATAGACTCAAGCTAAACCTCCTAGAGTAAACCATATGAATAAATAAAGAAATATAATTTTAATAGAAAGTACTGGTCCTAAAGAGAGAAACAGAAGACACTTTAATTAATGATTGTTCTACTAACAATTTTTTATCATAAAAGAAATTAAAACTTTTTCTCAGCATTTTATTCATAAAATTATTAATGTCTTCTGGAACAATGAAAATGTTTTCTTGTTTCCTCCCTCACAGAGGAAAAATCACCCAGTGCAAGAATCAAAAGTGAAAGATAAAAACAGCAGGATGAGAATGAAAGCTGGTACTTACTGATGAATAGCTTGCAAGAATTTTCGTTGATGTTTTCTGACTTTTGCATGATCTATCTTTTTTACTAGCTTTGTATTTTTGTAAATTAGCCATGTTTCCCTGAGTACATTGGCAGCTGCGTTTTTCACCTGTTTAGAAAACAAGTAAGACAAAGCAGTTGAGAAATTGCACAGCAGAATCTGTTGCCATTTGCTAGAGGTCACGTTCTTCATCCCAAGAATCATGGTGAGCTGTCGGTCCATTTAGTAACTGGTACTCAAAAGACTAAGACTCTTTCCATTCATTTATCTATCTGCATCTGTCTGCATCCCTCAAATTGAAATATTAGAGAGATATTCTCAGTCTTTCTTTGCTAAATCCTATCCTACTCTACCAAGAAACTGCCTTTTAATTCAACTTTTGTTGGCTGTACTGGGGTTTGAACTCAGGGCTTTGTGCTTACAAGGCAGGTGCTCTATCACTTGAGCCATGCCTCCAGTCCTTTCTGCTCTGGTTATTTTGGAGATTGGGTCTTGCTTCTTGCCCAGGCTGGCTAGACCTTGATTCTATTTTATGTTTCCTGCTCAGGGCTGGCCTCAACCACACTTCTTCCAATTTCAGCTGTCCATGTAGCTTGGGTGACAGGGGCATGGCACTATACCCAGCTATTGGTTGAGATGGGGTCTTGTGAATTTTGGCAGCCAAAGTTGAGTTGGAACCACAATGTTCCCAATCTCAGCCTCCTAAGTAGCTAGAAGTACAGGCATGAGTGATTGGTGCCTGGCTAAGTACATTTTTTTTTTTTTATCCAGAGATGCGATTTCTTCACCTTATATTACAAATGTCCTTCCTAAGCTCTTCATTTCTCTAAAGAAAGGCAAAAATGCCAGAAGGCCATGGTTAATCTCAGCCTTTGCAAGCTTGCTTAGTATTTCTGGCTTGTGCAATACAGTTAAGGGCACATATGCTTTGCTGAATGTGTGAGTACACCCAGCACCTCTAGCCTCCCAGAGTGACTGTTTGCACACTTGAATTAATAGATAGACTGTGTTATGATTTTTCTGGCAGTTTTAAATGCACTGTCACACCTACTCCATCTGAGGGAAGGCATGAATACCTTATCCAATTACTTGCTTTCTTTTAGACTTTGGAATATCCTGGAAGCCAGGACAGATTTAGTTTTCTTCCTTGCTTACCATATAGGAGGCTCAGGAAGTTGTTCCATTTGGTTGTTTTGTGTGATGGATAGAGAAAACTATAGGGTAGCAGGGTGCCGGGTAGAGGAGACAACCTTCTAGGGCAGGAAGACAGGAATGCTGAACTCAGATTAAAGAATAGGCCCCAAGTTCTTGAGCTTGTACTAACCAAGTCTAGTCAAGTGATCAACCTTGTAGGAATTTACTTTAACATGAAAAAGACATGATGATGACTAAAGTCTTCTCATTTCTTAGATTTTAGAATTAATCTGAAACTATGGGATCAAGTGTGTATTATTTTTAACTTTTGTAAGGAAAATAGGTTTGGTGACTAATGGTGCTGAATGAGTTTTCTTTTTGCATGGAACTGTATTGCTAAAGCCCATTTTAAGAAAAACATCCTTTAGTAGTGACTCTGGTTCACAAGGCACTCTCTGAATACCTATTACACTGTGCATGGGACACCTCCTCAAACCAAGAGAAAAACAATGGAGGCAGTGCGGAGTACCAGCTTAAAAGTAACACCACCCCCCTCACAGTGAAGTTTAAAGGACTTTGAGTACAGTCTTGGCTCCATCTTCATGCTGTGGGAACCTTCAGAGTCAGTCACCTTTCAGAAGGCTCTTCTTGTTATCTCTCATCCTTTGCAAAGGTAAGGAAATGAGCAGTTGAGGTTCAAGCACTGCTTTTGCAGAACAGGGACTGGGAAGAGACTGGCTAACAGTTCCCCATTAAGAAACAGATTCTTGAGGGGCCCTGATGTGTCTTCCCTCCCTTGATTTTACCAGGCCAGAGTACAGAGGAGGAACTCAAATATCAGATTGGTCAGGAAGCTGAAAAACCAGGCAAAAGCTCGGTAAAAACCAGTGGGACAGGGACACAGCAAATGAATATGACAGCTGATTTTGGTTAGATTCCCATCTAAAAATAACAAATTTTAGTCTTCACAAAGCTATTCACTTTCACTTTTGTCTCTGATGCATCTTAAGTAACGGTTCTGAAGGGGAGTAGGAAGCCTCAATATCAGGGTTGGGGGGGTGGGTGGCGATGTCCTCAAGGTTTTATGTTATAGGATTTGTATCTGCTAAGCACTCATTGGCGCTGACAAGCTGAAGTTTCTACAGTTCCTTGTAAAAACTTTGAGATATGTGAATTTATTTTGAAACATCCGTTTTCTGACTCCTTAACAGGTTTTCAAACACAAAAATAAGGCCTTTGAAGTTTCATATTTTCCATAGGAAAGCCACAAAATATTTGCTGGGATTAAAACCAAGCCCCCTCTGCTCATTACTCAGATGTTTTTAATGATGGATCTTCTTGTCCCTCTTAGGGTTGAGAGGAACAGACAGAACAGTGAGAAGACAGACTTGAAAGCACCTCGGTGTTTTGCAGGTTTGAGCAGTGGGGAATTGTTTCATGAAAGTGATTCGCAGATTTCGAAGAAAACTGGGTGTAAAGCAAGTCTCCATATTCTGGATCATTTAGATGAGAGGGAATTTTGTTCGTTTCCTCAGGTAAGAACCCTACAACATAATCATCACATTACGTAACCCTTGCCCCTGGCTTTTGTAAATTCCTCACTAGCCAGTGTGCCTCCATAACACAGTGCTTTGAGCATGACTGGTGTTAAATTAATGAACTGGTGTTAAAAGAGCACCACAGCATAATTTATACATAGACACTGTCTAATCATGAGCCACAGATTCCTATTTATCAGCCAAAGGACCCTTATGATAAGTATACAGGCATTCAGCAGAGACCTGAGCGGTAAATGAGCCAGTACATTTCGGAATTCAACTAGTGCCCCGAGTCTCTACCACGTGCTAGATAACCAGGATGACTGGAATGAACAGAGCCAGTGTGTTTACCATGCTACAGAGAAATTTCCTACTTTTCAAAAACTGAAGAGGGGTTGGAGGGAGGCCATTCATTGGTAGAGCATTTGTGTCACGTGCACAGGGCTCTGGGTTAGATCCCGGCACTGTTGAAATAAAATCGGGGAAGGACCTTTGTCACTTCTTCTTGGCTCTCCTGCACCTTACTCCAACACACACCAAACAAAAGGAAAATAGTGTTTGCTCTGCTTTCCTAATGGTCAACTCTAAAATCTTCCATCAGAAAAATTTTGAAAGGCTTATTAATCATCAGCTGCTTTGATAATAATTTGATTCCTTAAATTTTGCTCCTTAAAAATGACTCTCATGGGTATAAAGGCCATAAATTGTTACTTTGCTGCTTTAATAGCAATTATATTTTTAAGTATAAAAGTACTTTATAAGCTACCAGGGTACCTAAGGAAAATGGACTTTTCTATCTCTTTATTTTTGCTATTACTGGGGTTTGAACTCAGGGCACACATTTGGTAGGCAGGCACTCTTACCACTTGAGCCACACCCAAGGCCAGGAAGATGAACCTGAATGGTATAGGTAAGGAAAACATTGTCAAAAAAGCTCTTTCTCTGCCTTTTTCCTCACAACACTTCTATTTTTCCCAAGGGAACGCACCAGGGTGCCACCTGCTCTCTGCAGTGGTGAAGATGGACTTGCTCTGTTCCAACACCCTCCTCCCAGCTCTATAGAGCAGGAACCCAGGGCCTGGGTTAATGTCATGACTGTGGATCAGGTAGAGCTACGTGATTCATTTCTTTCATGTTTTAACCCACTAGGTTGGGTAGCCAAAGATAGTATAAAAGTTGCTTGGATCTAGAATTTGTGAAGAGACATGAATGATGTAGCTGTATCGTTATGTTCTTACAGATCTTACTGAAAAGTCTTAGCAAGACTGGAGACACCCTCTCTGGACATTATTAGTATGTTTATCTAGCAATCTTCAAAAATTGCATGAGGGTTCTTAGAATTGCTTTTTTTTTTTCAAGTTTGTTCCCAATATCTATATTATCCAAAGTCTAAGATTTCCTCTTGGTTCAATCCTGAATATTTCCAGTAATATCTAAGAGCATGGTAAGCATATTGGTTCTGTAAGGTGATAACTGTAAAATCTATTAAATAGCTGGTCCTGTCTTTCTAAAGTCAGTGACAAGTTTTTTTATTATTATGTATTTGTTTGAAATCTTTAATTTGGGTACATGTACCTGTGGGCCATTTTTGAATTGCAAAGTGTCATGTAAATTTTCAGAATTACATAAAAAAAAAAACCTCCCTCAATGCTGGTGCACAATGAATAGCATTTTACTTCCAAATACAGTGTTTTATTTGGTTAACCTAGTCATACAGAAAAATGAGTTCTGTGTAAAATTGTTCCCCTGAAAATTTGTACATAGTGAATAATTTTTCAAGGAAATTGTTCACTTCAGTAGCTTGAAAAGTTACATTTGTTCCTGGGAGAATAACCTCTTTTAAAATTCAGATTTCAGAACATCTGTGACCATTACTACTGCATAGTGCTTGAAGGTATGTAAATCTAACAATACATAGTACCTTGGAATTTGTGTTTTAAATCATTCAAGTGATTATTTGAATTTTAATTAGAAAGAGTTTAAACTATAATTAAGTCCATTTAGAATTTCTATAAGTAACCCAATGAAATCAAGTTTCTAGTAAATGATACTCATTAAGTTGATGACTCTCTAGAAAATAACTGAGAGGACCATAAAAGGGCTACTATTTTCATAGGTTGTGTTGACTATTATGATGGATTTGTGGTTGCTTTTAGATGCTTACAAGCCTCTAAAATTCACAGGAAATCTCAATCTACAAAGGATTATCTAGCCAGAATGGTTATTAAGGTCAAGGTGAAGAGACCCTGGACTGAAATGAACCTATGATGTCTAATTTATATTTCAATGAGAATTTTCGGTAAAGGTGGTAGATAGCAATGTGACACTGCAGGTTTTGTCCTCCAAGTCTTTCTCTAAGTTTGTAAAATGTTTAATAACTAAGGTATGATAAATCAGTATTCCAAACTAACTTTTTTTCAGTACTAGGGGCTAAACTTGGGGCCTCATGCTTGCTGAGCAGGAGCTACTTCACCAGCCCCTTTTGCATTTGTTATTTTTGAGTCTGGGTCTTATGTGACACCCAGGCTGGCTTCAAACTACTAATCTTGGCTTTCTTATTTGTGATTCAGTCACTTTTTTTTGTTGATGGTGTTTTCTTTATTGTTGAGAAGCTTACAGGCAAACATATGGTCTTTTTCTGCCTACTATCTTAAGTGCAATATTGATTTAATTCCTTCCTGAGAAAAGTATAATCTTCACCATAGAATTATATAGCTCATATAATAAGGAACTTTATAGAAGCATTCTTTTGATATGGCAAAACTTTTCACTCTTGAACCCTATGGACCAAGCACATGATGCTACTACTTCTGGATTGGACATGGGCTATCACTGAACACTGTTCCTAATAGTGGGACAGTGATCTCCCACCTAATGTTACACCATTTTCAACACATAGAAAAGGCCTGTCTCTGCTCCTGCTTTGGTTTCTAAAAGCTAGGGGTTGTGCTTTTACAAGAGTGGCCTTAGTACATTTCCTTTGATCACTTTAGATTTACAGGGCTACCATGTTCTTTTCTACCCAATCTAATATTGACTACCTCTTGACTACCGTATTTAATTGTTAAGTATACCTATTTGTTGAGATTTATGTGATCTACTTATCCAACTATTTCCTAATTGCTCTCAAATTAGGACTAGTCTATTGTCAAATGAGAAAAGGTAGAACTAATTCCAAGAATACCTCACCATTCAAACCATGTCATTTCAACTTCTGTTATTTAAGTAAAAACTGAATTTCCCAACATTGAAATAAGCACAGTAAGATGCCATCTGAGGGGAGATGGGGGTAACTTACTCTTTTAGTCAGCTGAGTATCCATCATGAAATTGTGCACATGCTTTTCTGCTTTGGTGAGTTCTAGCTTTCGTGCCACTACAGCTACCACCAGGGCTGTGCAACCCGCACCCTGAAAAGAAGAAAACCCCAAGGAGTTACTACCATCTGTTTTAGCCATATTAGAAATTATAAATGGATGGAACTGGAGAACATCATCTTAAGTGAAGTTAGCCAGGCTCAGAAGGCCAAAAATTGTATGTTCTCCCTCCTATGCAGATTATAGACCTAAAACAAATGCAGTAATATTATTGGACATGGGTCACACACTAAGGGGAGAACACATACAGAAGGAATAGGGAAAGGTAAGAAACCCAAAACTTGAAAGTGTTTGATGTGCCCACTGCAGAGGAGTTAATATAGTAACCTTAAAACGACAGAGGTCAATATGGGAAGGTGACCAGGAAGTAGTGAAGAGGTCTGGTAGAGATGAATCAATTCAGGTTGTAATACACATGTGCATGGAAGCAATGCTAGGAATATCTCTGTATAGCTATCCTTATCTCAAACTAGCAAAAATGCTATGTCTTTCTTATTATCGCTGTCTTCTCTTCAACAAAATTGGAGAAGTGATGGTGGTGGGGAGGACAGGGGAGAGATGGCCCAAACAATGTACACACATATGAATAAATAAACCAAAAAAAAAAAAGAAATTGTTTTGTACCAAATGCATTGAGTTTCTTAATATTTTAATATTGTATTTATCATTGTCTTCCATAAGTAAATGTGTGGTCAACAAATCTAAGTAATGTTCCTGTAAAGTAAGTTTAAAAACCTAGTTGACTTATTTTAAGAACATAAGCATGATATTGAATCAAACACATTTCTAGCACAAATAAATGGCAGAAAGGCAACCAGATGAATTTTCAGAGACTTCTTTAAAAACATAGTGAATTGATTCTGTAATAATAAGTCAGCTTAATGCATGGACAAGAAATAAAGACTTACACTTAAAGAGTAACACTCTATAACCTTCTCTTGAAGATACCAAGATAAGCCAAAGCCTTCAGACCAATCAGCCACTCAATGAGAGTCATGTATTCTCTCAGCAAACCTACAACTTCAGACCGCTTCATATGCATAACAGTGAGGCTCCCTGGACAACAACACGCTGAAAGTAAGGAACAACCACTGTAATGTTGGCGGGGCTTAACTAGCACTCCATGGATCACCTTTATTTTGAAAAGAAAGAAAGAAAAAAAAGTGTTTCTTTTCAAATGTTAAGCCATATAGGTAATCTCTTGGAAAAAGAGGTACTTCATTGTGTGATACCCCAAAGATGATTCTAGTTCTGCCTTTCCATGATCACAGTGTACTTGTGCCCATTTGTGACAGAGTCAAGAGGCAGATTCATGCCGTCACAGTAGAATCTCAACAGGGAATGAATAGCACAGAAGAGGAGCACAAACAGAAGGATGTTACAAGAGACTTGAATCTCTAACCAGTTTTAATAACATCCCCTTAAGTTAGGCAAAGGGTAGAGCGGTCATAGGATAAACATCCAAGTGACAGTCTCAAATTCCTGGTCTTCCTGATTACTAACTGCTGTAAAAAAGATCACTAGTTAAAATAGCAACTTTGTGGCTTCAAAACATAGTGGTCAACATCTTAAATATCTAATATTGAGGAATGATTAATTATCACCATATTAAAATTTTATTTCTAAAATGTTTAAAAGGCAAATTAGGAAGTTGTATATATAATATGCTCCCGGTTTTGGAAAGAAGGAAACTGTGAAAAGAGGTTATCTCTAAGTATTTGGAATACTGGTGACTTATTTTGGAGTCTACAACCAATACATACTACTTATTTAAACACACAATCGCACATTTAAATACGACAATTTGTGGTTTAAGAAAATATTGAACCTAACCTTTATAGATCCTTATGTTACATGCCAGTGTCAAAGTGTTGTGGGCTGGGGTTGAGGGTCCTTCACAGTCCTGGGAACTGGCTCGTGAGGCAGGTGAACAATGAGCCAAAGCCAGTATATAAAGTGGGATTTATTAGAGAAAAAGGAAAGGTTACAGCTAGAAAAGTGCAGCAGAGCCCGGAAATCAGTAACTCACTGCTCAGGTGAAGGCTGGGGTTTTTATGGACATTTTAACTCTGGGTTAGGTGGGTTTTTCCTCATTGGCTGTGGATTTGAGGGCTTTCTTAGATGTACTGGCATAGTTAGCACCTTTACTGGGGGCAGGGAACAATCTTGAGAGCATTTTGCTCATCAGCCCTGTGGCAGATCTATCAGACCCTGTATCTCTTCTTTAGGTTGCGGGAATGCAGGCCTCCATCTCCTCAGGATGCAGGAGTGATATTGCCCTCATGGGGGATGGGATACTCACTCATCTGCCTTAGGTTTGCAGACCCAACACTTATATCAATGCAGGAAAATCTTTCCTTGTGAACTGTATTTTACTTACACTTTTATTACTATGTAATTACAGAGTGTTTTTGTTTTCTATTTGCTCAGAAAATGTGATTTAGCTCTTCAGTTGTACATCAAAAAATAACTTTTTAGGCCATTGAGAATGAGTTACTACAAATCCAGCAGGAGATGGTATAGTGAGGAGAAAAGGGAAAAATACATATATTGACCAGTCTTGCTATATAGCCTGATGATTTTAATAATGAAGATAGGGCTTTAATTCTGATCAGATACTAGTTAGCTCTGCTTCCAGAGGGTATGAGTATCCCCTTCCATCTAGCTCTATGAAAAAACCAGTATCCTCAGAAATGAAGTGCTATTATTCCTATGATCAGAGAAAGAGGTCAGAAGGTAGACATTATTTAGGTTCCCCCCTGATTTTGCAGCAGAGCTGGGTGATTAGTCAGTTGTGAACATCATCAGCACTGATATTATTCCCTATCCTTCCCCTCATCTCATGATATCTATATTTAGGATCACATATTTTCTTACTTATTTCATTTCCATACCCATGACACATTATAAGGCACAAGAAATTCAAATTCACTTTATCTGGTAAACTCAAAGTGTGAATGTTTCAACACTGGATAATATGGCTTATTACCTAAATAAATCAACATTGTTCCAACTTTTAAAGCTGTGTCTCTCAACCTTGACTGTGAAAAGTGTGTAAAAATCCCATTGCTAAGACTGTGTGTGCCCACCCTAGTAAACCCTACTCTCCAGGGTTAAAATCTACACATTTGCATTTTTAAAGCTCTCAAGGTTATTCTGACATAGTATCACTGCTTTAGATGGAGGAGGATATGAAGGGAGTGTAGTACACTCTACAAACCACTGAGTATTCAAAGAAGAGAGTAAAAGTTCTCATCAGAGTTTTTTTCACTTAGACATTCAAATAATCATAAACAAGGAGAGTAGAGGGTATGATGGTTATTCTGGTATTTTTTAGGGCTGGTTCCCAAGGAAGGAAAATAATGGCCTTTGGAAACGGCTGCCCCCATTTTGTTGATGTTAAACACCTACCACACTATCGAAATAGTTATGGCAGACCATGGCCATTCAGGACAGTGATCTGTACCTACCTCTGCATGGGATTGGACTTTCTGGACAGACAGGTATTGCAGGTATGTTCCCAGCTACTTCTCTGTGAGTCCTGGGAAATGCAGAGACCGTGAAAATCTAAGGAGCTCCTAATTGCTAGAGAAACAGCTATGAGAGGACAGTTGGCACAAGAAGTTGAATATTGTTCTCCTCTGGCAGGTGGCCACTGCTGAGATCCTTCTGGAAACAAATCAAAATCCTAACAGGAGTGGAAAATCACTGGTATCAAGAGCCTTTTGAAATCAATTTTTGTGTTCATCTGGGCTTCATTCTTTCCTGCTGCTGGCCCATTTCTTGTTCAGTGTTCTCTAATTCACCAGAAGACTTGGGTATTAAAATTAAAATTTGTACCAATTTGCCTTTGGTGCAAATTGGAGAAGCAAGTATATCCAACATCTTAATAACCCTTCAAACTATTGTTTGAATATAACTGTGTATTTTTAAGCTGTATTTCTAGAGACACCAAGAAGCTTCTTTTTCTTCAAATTACAAAGCCCTTTACTCCCTATCTTCAAGTCTTTAAACTTATACCTCTCCATGTTCTTAATGTATAATGAGGATTTGATGGCTATATAATTATGTTTCAATAAAGTAACCTGGATCATTTAATTTTTATAGTTCTGCAAAACAAAACTGATTCACTTCCAAAAGCTTTCTAGGTTCAAGGTTTCCTGCTAACGCATTAGTAACTACAGTAATTTAAGTAAATGACATGGTGTCCACTCAGCATCTATTTCCAGGCCATATAGTGAATAAGAATGAAAGCAAGGATGCTTTGACAACATTTTCTCCAAAGCGTGTCACCACCCCAACCCATGTAGAAACAGTTGGGACTAACATATGTTACACTCTGGAATTAAGATTCCTGTATGTCTTAATGAGTCATATTCCTTTCACCAAAGTTAGAAAATAAATCCTGGCTACTTTTCTTCCATTCCATTTGGGTTCCTATGGAAAAGAGAAGAAATCAGTAACTTGCCACTTCAAGAGGGTTGGACACCTAAAACTAAGTAAGGAAAAAAAGAGTATTTATGAAACCAATATACTAAAAGCAAAAGTTTAAGGCTTGCTTAGCCAGTTTCTCATCTTTTCATCTAACAGAGGGAGGAAAAAAAGGGGCTGATGTGGTGGGTCATGCCTATAAGTCTGGCTACTTGGGAGGTAGAGACTGGGAGGATTGTAGTTCAAGTTTGGCTCAGGGCTAAAAGCACAAGACCTTATCTGAACAATGAGCAATGCTTCCAGTCCTTTTTTACTTAAAATAGTAGAGCTATTTTAAGTTGATGAGTGAGTGAGAGGCCCTGAGTGCAAACCCAAGTACTTCAAGAAAAAAAAGAGAGCGAGAGCAAAAAAGGGAAGCAGCTTACCTTAACGAAAGGTAAGCAATTACAAGTAGTGTTTATGCCTATCATCCTAAGCCAGATCAAACCAAACCAACCAATGATAGCCACAAGCTCTAGTCCTTCCCAACACCTGCAGTCTTTGATGTAAAATAGGTGTTCTTCCATTGTTTTCTCCATGACAGCACAGAAGTCTAGGCAGTG